AAGCTTTGACATTTGTTTTGATTAGTTTGAATAATTGAACATTTCTTCGGTTAGTTTTATTCATATTTTTTGTATTAGGGGACAAGTATACTTCTGTGTAGATCCTAATAGTATCGAACGGCAGTTCTAATAACAAAAATAATTGGGATGATGACTGGGTAACGAAATCGAAATTCTATTTAGTCCGTCAGACAGATAATTAAAAAATATTGGACCAATATTTTGTCATCTAGCCTATTCTCTACCTGTAGGCCTAAGATGCGCGCCGTGATAACTTTTATCGACGTTAAAATGTATGGTTAAAATCGATAAAATGGCATGATAACCGCTTATCGCGGCGCGGATCTTAGGCCTACAGGCAAACATTGGCCAGGAAGAGAGAGAGAGAGAGAGAGAGAGAGAAATAGAGAGAGAGAGAGTTGAAATATAATTGTATCCAACCGAATTGAGAACCTCCTCCTTTTGTTGAGGTCGGTTAAAAATAGCAATACAATTAACCTACATTCGAAATTATTGAACAGGTGTTTGATGATTCATTTTCTCTACATTCTCCCAATAAGTAAAAAACGGGGACACTTGCTCAACCTCTGATAACTTTTCTTCCATTTTACTTCAAGTGCTGTTAACAAAAAACTTGTATTTTGATCATTATCTCCCTAATATAAGAAGTATAACAATCCACTTCAGCACGCTAATGGCACCCTTATGAGACGTTATTTTTTGCTAAGCAACGATCTGTTCGTTATCTCTTCTCACGGGCTCTTTAATATTTTATTACTCGATCTAGTTACGCGAAGATTGAAGACATTTATCATACATGAGACATACATACTAATACATAGCCTAAAGATGTAGGTTACTATGAATATTATTTCTATTGAAGCCTGATTACATACATACATTACGCAAAGATGTCGGTACCCGTGAACATTATTTTTATCGAGGCTCATTTTTCGATATACGAGTAGGTAATTCTAAAAATTAAAGGACCACTTTAATAAAAAATATTACTGACAAATTCTTTATACTGTTTTGACCAGCATATTATGTTAGTTTGGTTTTATGCATTGGTTTTGTTTTTATGACTTTCTTATGAATTCCAAGTCAAAATTGATAGAGATTATGTCATTATAGGTACGAGTTTTATTTAATTTCGAAAATAAACGAAATACCAAGCAGTAGGTAACACATTCTTTAATTATTTTTTTTATCCACAACGAGGAAGCTCTTGGCCTGTATCTCACCTGATGGTAAGTGATGATCAGGCCGAAGGTGGAAGCGAGCTTCACCCGGAATCCTCAACCACGGAGGAACTGGCTATCTTACCAAGATTACCAAACTACTACCACAGAATGAAAGTAGCCGCTTTTAAATCAGCCATAAAATCATAAACAATCCCAATCGGTTAGTTGATGTTTTCGCCATCAAATAGCTACGTCTATGTCCTAGGCACCCATTGGTAGTTTTCAGTTAAAATTCCTACACAAAACAGGCGAGGACGGGCGCGGACATAAAACACCACCCCTATACTGCGTGATGTATTAACGTTTTGTGAGGTACAGTCGGCTAGGAATGCAAGTATTAGAATGAGAGATCCTTATTATTAATTTTAGATATTACAAGTTCACAACGGCATAAATGACAAAACACAATACATAAAAAGAAAAGTTTAAAAAGGAAGGGAGATATAGGCGATATCTCCCATTTCCACTAAGTACTACAACTCTGGTGCATTCTATTACTTGACTGTCAATAAAAGCATTGATGATTGAAATGGTCTACGTTCTACGAATAACCTCTACTGTGCTTGAAGAAGGATAGGATGAAAAAGGCCAGGTCTGAGGATCGCCACCGAAACTAAAGATACGAAAAAGTAAACTAATGCGTGATCGTGAAGTTTTCAAATCATGTCCAGAAATGTCGTACCAAAATGAATACGAATTTGGTATAACTAATTGTACAGATCCCATTATTATTTTGTTAATACTACTCATATTAATCTATAGATTATAAATGCTTGAAATTTTTAACACATTTTTAAGACTTGAGGAATTATTCCAATGTAAATAGTGTTTTTGCGGCCGACTGTCCATGACATAGAAACGATTTGGTATTACAAACCGAATAGTAAAAGATGTTCTATTTGGGGTTTTAATCCCATTTTATAGGCGGCTGCTAAATTCCTGTGAATCGACTTGGTAAATTATATAATCTGTTTATTTTTATCGATGTTTCTTTATTTTATCATTTGTTGTAACACAGTAGTCAAGTGATGTAACCTATTCTCTCAGAAACGCTCAGATATGAGCAATAACCTACACTCTATTATAGACTGACTAAATTGAATAGAGTTTCAATAGGTTCACACATACACACACACACACACACGATTATAAAATGTTCTGTAAAATCGCTCCTATTCATATCACCTTAATGTTATTTTATGTTACCAGCTGAAATTTCCATGTCCTAGCATGTAAAACTTAAATATTTCTATGTTAGCCCACAAATGTCGAGGAATCACTGACACTGAAAATACAGTATTTTTTTTTACTAGTTTCGGTGTCAGCGTTCACCTCTTGTTAGATCGAAATGTTTAATTGAATAAAATTTATTTATTATTATTATTATTTATAGGTTAGGTTAGGTTAGGTTAGGTTATTTTATGAGCTATGACCCAAGGCTATGACCCAAAAACAAAACTCAAGTTCAAGTTACGAGTATGTTCGAAAAGCTTAGAGATTCATTTATTGATCGGAGTTCAAGGAATAAATCAGTTTGTAGGTACTCAGTATCAGTCATAGAATATAAGTTAAATGGACAACAAGGAAACGAATATTTTTTTATACATACCAGCTCATACAGCTTTGGCACATATTTGCAAATTACACAGATCACAGAAACTAAAGGGAGATGTGACAAGGTGTCGCAGCAATATGCTCAAATACAAAACACATTGCTCGTGACAGCAATGATGACAGCAGCGACGTCATAATGTAAGCAGTTTGCTTGCGTAGTACTAAAGATTATTCGAACGTTGAGTACTGATACCGCAGTGGATAATGAGCACATATTTTGATTGTGTGTGTGAATTTCTAATGCCACACTGAGTTTCGAACTCAGCGCATTAGTTGGCATCTCTCTATATCTCTACACTGAAAAAAATGTTTGGTTACTGCTTACACAACAAAAGTGACCACCGAACACTTTGGTTATGAGGAACAAAATGTTGTGTGAACAAATAATTCTGTAGTGAGCTAGACTTAGTTTGGTTATACTTAACACTTAGTTCGGTGGTCACTTTTGTTGTGTAAGCAGTAACCAAATTTGTTGTCTGTGTATGGAAAATTGTATCTAAATTAGAGCCTTTCCATTTAAAAACCCATCCCTTAAGTTCGTACCCATCGTTTTATTACTACACTTTGTTTCAAGGGGTAATAGCGGCTATCGCGTGATCGCGTCCATTCCCGACATCTGTGCCTACAATAACGACGCTCATTTAGACCAGTCTAATATTTCTATTATATGTGTCCTCTATTATCTTACTATGTATGTATTTCTGTCTATATAACTATGGGAATTACAATGGGTAGTTGACAACACTAGTTATTTAAGTGACTAGCGGCCGCCCTCGACTTTGTACGCGTGGGTCCCGTTTTACCCCCTTAGGGGTTTAATTTTGCAAAATTCCGTCTTAGTGAGCATTTACGTTCTAAAAGGAACCTCCATGCAAAATTTGAGACTCCTAGAACTTGTAGTTTCTGAGATTTCGTGATGACCGAGTGAGTCAGTAAGTGTATCTATAGATTCTACTTTATTGAGCTGTTAAAACGCGACTTTCTCATAGATCTTTTATGACAAAGGGAACTATTATGATGTTACTTACTGGTTCGCGAACTAATTATTATACAGATAGATTTTCAGGACTAGAATAAGGTGGTTCTGAAGAAAGGTTATGTTTTGGTATATCTCAAATCTAGGTGAGTGGTTAAAACTTATCACATAAATACCTAATTTAGATACCTATTGACTTAGCTTAGTCATATTTGATAGAAGTCACTGAATAATTTGATTTGATTCATCAAATCCTTATACTTTGATCTTTTCAGGATGACTTGACTTGTTATTAAGTTCTAGTAAAATATTAAGTTCACGTAAAAGTAAGAAATTTTCACAGTGATCATGTCAGTACTACGTGTCAAAGAGGTGCCTATTCTACCGTAGGTGCTAACATTATTATTATGTCTAAGGTTCGTCGACTCGCCTTGAACGGTTAACCTTTACACACCCTACAAATACACAGTTATTTTCCCTGGACAGCAAAAAAGAAATTCCACCTACATTTCTGAGACAAAGAACGCCTTGTATTTACTAAATAATAAGATTAAATATTCGCTATTTCCTGTCGTAATTAAGGGCGGAGGTCGAATTTAAATTTCAGATTTTCGGAATAGCGCTTCGCGTTTTTGGTCGCTCCGGAGATGGCAAAAATTTGAATTTTGTCATTATGACGTAGATTTAGTGGAGGGGACGGTGCTTTTGATAAATTAAGTATTACGATGAACGTAATTTATTGACTGTAAATGGATTGATTTAGTGCAGATGGATGGAAATATTATGTGTTTACGAAGTTCTTTACTATCTTGGTGTAATGTAAATGTAATGTTATTTTAGATTAATGCTAATATTATGGATGTAGGTCTTGGTTTCAAAAATATTCTCAAAGTAATAAGAGGCATCTAAAGACATAAATAAATAATAAATATCCTTGGACATTTTACACAGCACCATCTTATCCCAAACTAGCAAAGCTTGTACTACTTTAATATTATTTGGGTACCTAGGACTTGTAATATTATTTAGGTGTTAGTCTTATCGAAAATATTTTTATTACTCATTGGGTCGTCTTTTCGACATTAAATTATACATTACTAAGAATACAGTTGTACAGAATGTCGAGGCTAAGGACATCTCTAGGGCAAATAAAAATAGCTTCTGACCTTTTTGAGATCCTTGTTGAGATCGGTGTCATCCGCTTTTCGCTTTTCACACGAGAGTATGCAGTTTTTTCCGTTGTCCTTTTCTCCCTGAAACAAAAGAGAATATAATTAAAATGGTATTTGAATTAATTAAACAGATGGTGCCTGGATGCGGGCGGCGCAGGACCGATCTTTGTGGAAATCCTTGGGGGAGGCCTTTGTCCAGCAGTGGACGTCATTCGGCTGAAACGAACGAAACATAAACACATAAAGATAATTATTATTTTGTTTCTTGAAGTTCGTTCTCTCATTCAAAAAAACCTGTAAAATCACTCGAAATCTGGAAGAAAATCGTATGCCAAAAGAATGTTACGATGCATTGCTATGATGCTAAACGAAATACTAGCAGCGAATAAGAAAATACGCCGAACCAATAACAAATACTATATTGAGCGAATACCACAATACATCTGCGGCATTCGATTAATCCACGTGTACCTGAGATATTGCATTAATATAAAATTTCATTTATTCTGGAATCCATCGAAAGAAGGCCAGGGCCAGCGTGACTTTATGTTGGGATACATTTTGGACATTGAAAATAATAAATGTAACTTATGTATAGGTTCTCTATGAATAAAGTAACAATTATTCTTGTTTGATGGATTATTTCTGGAAACATTTTGCGAAAAGTGATTGGCAGAAGCTGAGTGGAACATGACAAAACAGGGTAAAATGGCGACAATAACGATAATTTTGGGGAGGCCTATATCCAGGGTGGACTGCTATAGGCTGATGACAATAACGAGATAGAACGTCAATAAGAAATTAATAAATACGGGGCGTATTTATCCTAATTACGTGATCAACAGACTCCATAACTCTGGTTACATGTAATTTTGTAACATCCACATATACGTACATTCTGGTTTCGCAATAAACTATTGGTATTAGTGTTCATCATCAATGTTTTTTACTTTCCGTGATGTTGTTTCAATAAAACACTGCTCTTTTAAGCTGAGTTGCACCACCTAACTTTGACCGTAACTTCAACTACCTTTGTTTTTTGTATGAAAAAGTGTAGTAGGTTTTGTATGAAAAAGTGTTGTAAGTTTTGTATGAAAAAGTGTAGTAAGTTTTGTAAAAGTGCTTTTTAAAAGCCTACTTGCATAAATAAATGGGTTTTATGAGTTTTTTCTGGAGTACAGATTTTTGACGCTTGTCAAAAGAAGATGGTGCAACCCAGCCTTAAAAAGCATTCGCACAATAAATCCAGAGACATCGTAATTCGTGGCGACACCAGCCGGGGTCGTCCATTGTCTTTCACCTTGACTCAGATAAAGGCCCCGCTGCCCTACATTTAATTCGATTTACTTTTCTTTCGTTCCCCTTATTGACGCACTTTATTTCGCACTACTAACAAAGGTTTTAGAAAAAACCAATTGCAGAAAATCCGATTTAAGCGGTCGCACTAAAAATAGGTCGTTTCTTTGTAAAAATAAAATAGAAATAACGGGTTGTATTTTCTATTTACACATAAACGAGATGATACCTTTCAAATGGTGTACTTACTTCAGTAAATTATAACAGGTATCAACGATCAACATCTCTTAAGGTATTTTGTCAAATTTATTAATCTATTCTTACTTATTAGCTAAGATTTCAAAAACAATATTTATACACAAGTAATTACTGCGTTTCCTATATTCTTCAGTCACCCTGTATAAAACAACCTATATTGCGTCCATCCCACACTCGAGCGTGACACAGAAAGTTTCGACCACCCCTATTTAATTCAATTTGCCCTATTTTCCTTTTATTCGAAGCGTTTTTGTGTCTTCAGATTTATCAATTCGACAGATGGCGATCGTCATTCGGTTACGTTTACGAATTTAGTTAGACTGGAAATATTTTGTAAAATGTAAAAATAAGTGTATTTTAAGACGATTTTCTGAGAAAAGCCTTTCAAGATCTTGAAAGAGTTTACATTGGCTTTTAGAAAAACATCCTAATGTATTTTTTTATTTGAATACTGGTTGATAATCTTTTGGGGATTTCTTAAAAGGTTTACTTTACTACACTTTATCCTTTTAGGCTGAATTCGACTTTATAACATCCAAATGAGACAAAGTTTACACTGTTCAAATTATGCACGGCTATTTTGTAATATACAGGGTGTTTCTTGTAAGGTGTCAAGCCGAAGGCAGGTGATAGGTGAGGACTAGACCTATCGATTTCACCCCCATGTATGTTTTACGATTTTTCATAGTTTAGAAGTTATCGTTAATTTTGTGATTTTTTCAAATTGTATGACCTAGTAGGCTTTAAATTTTTTTATCTTTTTTTTGGGTCGACTTTTCTCAGATTTCTTTTTTTTGACAGATTCCCTATTAGTTGCAGATTTTTGAAAAAAATAATCAACTTCCTATCTTTGATGCAAGATACAAAATTTTTGCTAGAAACNCGAATTTAATCGTAAAGTAACAACCACCACTGTGGTCTAGTGGTAAGGCCACCTATTTAGGACAGCCAATTCCTCTGTGGTTTAGGATTCCGAGTGAAGCTCGCTGATCATCCATCAGTTTTCATCAGGTCAGATGAAGGGCAAGAGATTCCTCGTTGTGGATAAAAAAATGTTCTGTTCAGTTATTGTCTTTAAATGTGTTCTACGTAACGTAAACTTAGAGAATTGCAATCATTAGTTAGTCCTAAGAAAGTCAAAAACATGTAACGGAATCTCCGACTTACCACATTAGTGGAGCGATTACAGAAAATAATGGCCTATTAAGTACATGTTTTTTTGTGTTATTATGAAAGTTCAGAAAACTGCGCAGTTTTTAAAATTATTTTGGACCTATGGAATTTCTTCTTTTTTTTTAACTTTTAAGTTGAAAATTTTAGAATGTTCCGCTAATAGCATATTTTTTATGTTTCTAGCAAAAATTTTGTATCTTGCATCAAAGATAGGAAGTTGATTATTTTTTTCAAAAATCTGCAATTAATAGGGAATCTGTCAAAAAAAAGAAATCTGAGAAAAGTCGACCCAAAAAAAAGATAAAAAAATTTAAAGCCTACTGGGTCATACAATTTGAAAAAATCACAAAATTGACAATAACTTCTAAACTATGAAAAATCGTAGAACATACATGGGGGTGGAATCGATAGGTCTAGTCCTCACCTATCACCTGCCTTCGGCTTGACACCTTACAAGAAACACCCTGTATAACTTTTAACACATTTAGAGTTGAATCGCTTTTCAAACTGACACATCCTTTCCATTACTTTTTAATCAGTGTCATCTTCACCCTGTATGACAACTGACATCATAACAAAGTTAAGAATCAAAAGGCATTGTAAAATTTTGACGGAGGGAGGGAGTAGGGACAAAGTCATGTTTATGAATAGCCACCCCATTGGTGTGTATTCTTTGTGTCTCAGAACCAAATTACAACCCGCGCTAGATTGCTAATTACGATGCGTGCCGGTCACCACTCGCACACAAGCGCGGTACAGTACAAAAGAACAACAGTATACAGGGTGGAAAAGATAAGTGATCTCACTCGATTATTTCTAAACTATACAAGATATCGAAAAACTGGTTACTGATCCAGAAAGTGCTTCACGAGCTCTATCAAATGGTATCAATAAAAAGGTTGCAGAATAAACTGGATCTATCCTATTAGGACGTCAGAGGTGCGATAGCGGCGTTTTTATAATGGTGTGTCCACACTGGGCGAACGCGCTCGCGCGGCAATCTCGACATCCTGCTCACTCAAGAGCAGGGTGAGAAGGATGACCAGCGTGACGCGCGAGCCCGTTCGCCCAGTGTGAACGCACCATAATGTGTAGGCAGCCATCCGCTGTCACGTAGTATGAACTATGAAATAGCTTTGCGTCTTTCACATTGCTAAAGTCGCCTAAATGTAAAAGCGCTCTACTAGTCCTATTTCCACTGTGTCCCGTACAAAAGTCCGCAATCAGCCGACTTGTCCGCGGCGGCTTTTTTACTGTCCGCGTGTCCGGTTTGATTGTTAGTGCATGTTTGTTTAATCAAACGTCTGTTTTCATATTTTGGCTTTTTTAATTTATTAAGTTTTTTGTGTGCTACATGTGGTTACCAAAATAAACTTTAACATTTTGTTTATAAAAACGAGATTATAGATATTCAAAACGTAGTAATATTTTTATGTAAATCAAACTGAGAGTGCGTTTGAGAAGAATCTCGTTACAGTACGTCGAAAATAGAAATCCTCTCGTCTCAGATTTAGACTCTAATCTTAAGATAGTTCTTATCAAGCTTAATCAAACCTATACCTAAATTATTACATGTGTATTATTAATTATCTTTGAAACTACAGTTTCCTTGTTCCTTCAGTAAATTCTAACGTTGTCATGGGTTTTAAAGCATCAGGAAGTCTTTGAATTCCAGCTTTGCGTAAATCACTATCAGGTTTTCCCCAAATACCACGTTATCGAGTCATCATCATCATCATCATCTCAGCTATAGGACGTCCACTGCTGAACATAAGCCTCCCCCAATGCTTTCCATGTTGCCCGGTTGGTAGCAGCCTGCGTCCAGCGCCTTTCTGCTGCCTTTATGATGTCGTCGGTCCATCTTGTGGGTGGTTATCGAGTGGTTTCCCATAAACTAACAAAAAGTCCGTCATGTCATCTGTCATCTGGCTAAAAAGTCGTAATGTAGAAATGCGGTGAGAGCCACGTGTCATCAATAATGGCCGAGAAGGATCGTGTGCCCATCGATCAGAGCTAGAGCTATCCTGGTGGACCACAGCTAGAATAGAACACACAGAATACAAAATATTTAATTTTTTGGTTTTAAAATTTTTTAAACAGAACATGGCACGTATTTGACTACAATCGCACCTGATTTTAAGTGAGATGCAGTTTAAAATGACCTGTCCTGTATGTACTTACTTGCCTATTTTTCGCTTTGAAAAGGCCCGGATTATATGGTATTAGTACAAGCAAGCAGCGAATTCTAGTTCCTAGTTGTCTACGTTGGCATCATGTAAAATTTCAGGATGCAATTGAATATGCAGTTTTGTCAGAAATTAATGACTCATTTGTTCACCAAAACGTAATGTACAAACACATAATTTTAATATCATAATGAAAAAAAAAACTTTGTAATTGAAGCCAACGAATGTTTAATAATGAAGCTAATATAAATCATAAGTAAATAGTGTTGAAACCATTGGTAGAGACTATTATCAAATCTATGGATTTACTGAAACTTTACACGTTACATCAAGTGACCATTCTGCTCGTTTGCTTCCTGTTTAATAAAAAATATCTACTATTGTCTTACCTAGCCGTTCTACATTGTCTATGCCCCGCGTATTCGCGTCGACGAATAGCATTATGTTGTTTTCATATGTCAACGGTTGGTCAAGACGCCATGACTTATGGGCGGGCCTTTATTCCCCGGTTTATTCGTGATTAATGATTACACTCCAATTTAGGCGAGATAAGAAAAACCTAAAACGTGGACGAAAATTTCGCTGCCGTTCGAAATGTAATCAAGTTATTCATCAGCCTAGAAAAAAGGCGGTTTAAATTACGATGATATTATCTTTGTAAATACCTAGAGGTGGGTTGTTATTATAATAACAAATTACAGCCAATAATACAGTGTTATTTTTATGTTGAAAAAACTAAGTGTTGATATAACCACTCAAATACAATTCTATTTCTACAGGACCTATAAGATTCTCCAAAAAAAAAAAGTCCCAATAAAATAGATATTTCTTCATGGAAAGAAGGTATTTTTTGATATATTTCATCTTCGGTCCCTATACATAACCTGTAATAAACATAAACACCCTGTATCTCGTATATTAATAGAAGTAAATCAGACG